TGGGGCCCCCCCACTTTGAAAAACGTTCCGCCGGCCCTGTAAACTGTCTTAATGATGTGACAGAGCAAGACAATAGGTAATGGTCAGAGAGTGTGGTGTCAACAATCGACGTCTGATCAATCTGATAAGCCGTGGTATCCGAAGCTATAGGGTGTGCCCATTTATATGTGTAGCGCTATTGACAAAGCTATTGCACCATTTGAACAAGGACAAACTACATCACATATTGCTAGTGCCATTTTAAATTGCTAGACTAGCATCCGTCCTCCATTTGTCATGATTAAGAAATCTTAATTGTTCACCAGTACTCTGCCACCCTTGCTGCACCAGCTCACTAGTGACTATTTTGAGAACCAGATGAACAGATGTACAGTAGTACTACTGTAGAAGTGATACAACAGATTCGGATGAGGGGTAGAAGCCTATTGTTTAAGAAATAACTTATTTTGTTTAGTTGATAATTCAGGAAATTAGTATTCGAATTAGAATATATTACAATTGTAACCTTTTAACTTCTGAGCTAAACTTGAACTTGAACATTTGACTGCGTGAGAGCTGAAAATTAGCAGCATTCTTGGATTTTAAGGTCAAAACTTTAAAATCAATTGGACCTCAAATAAGAATTCCTGGATATTAACAGTACACTACTACACTAGAATGTTATAACCAATGTAACTAGCTAAAAACTTCTATTCCATTAACCAGAAATGCTGACCTTTGACACCTCAGATGACCTCAACAGAAATTTAGATTTGAAGGTCAATCAATGGGTCATCAAATGTGAATTCCAGAATATTAATAGTACAGTACACGGGAATTTTATAACCAAATTAATATTGATCTTTGACATGTGATGACCTCAGCAGCATTTTTAGATTTGAAGGTCAAATCAAAATAAATCAGACATTAAATATGAATTCCTAGATATAAACAGTACAGTAAAATGGAATTTTATAAAGCAACGAAACAAATAACTTCATTTTAAATCAAACACAAATGTTGACCTTTGACCTCTGAGATGACCTCTATATAATTAATTGTAGTTTTATTGTCTGTCAGTCAATTCAGCATGATCTGAGCTTTCATTAAGCCTTTTATAGGGGCACTATGATGATTTTACCAAAAAATGAAAATTTTGAAGAGAATTTATTGGCGGCCATCTTGGATTTTAAGGTCAAAACTAGGTCAAATCATCGATCCGACATCAAAAATGAAATTCCTGACCCCCTGAAACCCCTAAATCCATGCACTAAAGCAGCCACGTAGGCCAAAACACTGAAATAATAAATTTCAAAATGACGGAAGGCGCCATTTTGGATTTAGGGCTCTCACGGGTTATGCCCACACTTTCGTGAGGGACACCCAAGCTATTTTTGTTATTATACCCTCAAGAAAGACAAATCCACTGAAAAACTAAGTTAGCCTAAGCCGGATTATATTTAAAATATTATAGTACAGTATTACGTCTATGCAATAAATGGCTTAACGTATAAATATATCATGTATGGTTTAAAACTTTGTTATAATGATGTTTTCTTTTTGTAGAGGGCTCTTTTAAGTCAGCATAGGGTCATAAAGGTGAAAACACGTTATATCGTCATTGCGGACTTATAAAATCCGAATACGCCTTAAAACTAAAAGAAAATGCATACGTTTAGAGTCCGTACTGAGCCCAAAAAATCCGCAATGAAAATATAACGTGTTTGAATAAAAAAAATATATAAAAACATTTTTTGAATTATTTGTTTATTTATGAAACACTCACCATAGCATTACCCGTATATTGACATCCAGATCAACTGTAAGTTCAATCGAAATATGATTGTTGTATTACAGTAGTTATAATACGACGGACTAACAACATAAAGGATAAAAGGGACCTCTGTTCATATGTGTAAACAAACTCGAAAATATTATGTTTTGCTGATTATAAAAGATGAAAAAAAAAATCACTCAACCAGTAATTTGAAATTGTATTGAGCCTTCTACTTTATTGGTACGCGGATACAATTATTAACTGGACCATTGGGGGTAGAAGTTAGAAATTTAAAGTTGTACACTTCCTTACATATTCTCTATAGGACATGTGCAAATAAGTGGTGGGAAGCAAATTGTTTCAAACAGGATTCAAACCCTACTAAGACTCGATCCGATCAGTTCAGTTACTCTACCAACAGAACTATCAGGCGTAGCTGTCTCCATCAACTTTTCCCTCTAGTACACACTTTTATTCTGGTATTGCATAATAAACAATAGTAAATCACATAATAAATTCGGTATTGAGGGACGTACCCTTTAAGGAATCTCTTATGAAAAAAGAACTCGTGATTTTATACTGTTATATAAATAAGAAAAACTAATTGTTCCATCGAGATTCGTACCACCGGCTCTACATTATAAATTGGAAAACAAAATACTGAAAATATAAAGATACAACAGAATACAATTGATGCTAATCACCACTTTTACATTTTATTTTCAAACATTTTTTTTCAAAACATTTTAAAATACCAACGTTGTATGATGTGATACAAATATCTGGAAGCTAACAGGAAAAAAAAGCCAACCTAGATATATAAATCAGTTACAAATGATGCCAAATCATAGGGCAATTACAAGTACAATAATGTTCATTCAACAGAAGTGTCAATCAAACTCAACAACTGACCAAGCAGAACAGGGCAAGGAATATGCGTGCGTCTTACAAACAGACGTGGTGTCCTCAAAACGCACGTGTTTGCTTATATTTTACACTTCTGTTTTTTGGGACCAGCAAACATATCCAAGGGGCGGGGCTTAACGGAAAGGTCCATTAGGGGTCATTCAAGTATTATGTAACGCAGAGGGGGTGGGGGTATAGTGGAAAATGTTACAGTGTGTAACATAGAGGTGGGGAATGTTGCTTGAAGTGTTACATAATAAAATTAATTTTCATGGGAAGAGAAGAAATATAAAATATTCAAACTTGTATGATATTACTTTATTGAAACATATTACATCAGTGTAATACAATGTAATGTAACACAGTTGTGTTGAATTTGTGAAATCAATAAGCAATGAAGTTACATCTACCATATCAAAAAATAACAAAACATCTTACAAATTTGTAGTGTAGGACAAATTTGTAGTGGAGGACATTTATCCTGATACTTAATGTTGTTCATCCGATTTTATTAAAATTGTTGATGTTATAAAACTTGAATGACCCCTTAATACATGAGTTAATCTAATTATGATATTATAAAATTGTGATAATAAAATCTCAACTAGTCTCAAGTGTCACTTTTTGCTTTCATACTGTTTTATGAAATAACCTATTAAAATATTATTCTTACATATTAAACAACACTTTTTTAAATACTATTAACACTCGTGTGAAGCATACAATACAATATAACTGACCTATACATATTCAATTATGTTTAGTGTAAGACATGAAGTCATTTACAGTATATCCAAACACTGTATATACATTTGGTATTTCTATAGTCTAATTTCCAAAACAAAGTGCCTGGTGAGACTTGCTAAACAATCAAGTTTAGTAAAATGTTCAAAGATAGCAAGTTACAACCTTGTGTAGTTTACTTTATTCACGTTCATTTGAATCCTTATCACATTCACCTTATCCTGATTCAACACGAAATCTGTATATCAAAATTGTAATTATAATATATATTATTAATCCAGGTAATAATTATATAATTTTCAAAATATTATAAATAGTATATAAAACATAAAACAAAATTTAAAAACAAGTATATTATTTTATGAAATTAAAAAATGGATATACATAAAAGAGAATATTTAATTAATAAAATCTGAATTAGTGATAAAATAATTGATTGATATCAATAATTTATTACATAAACAAAATACTGTTTTCATAAATTGATAAATACATTCGAATAATTAATATAATATTAATATAGTATAATCACATTGGAATACATAATATATTTACTTTATTCATACTCATTTAAATCCTTATGACATCCACCCTATCCTGAGTCAACATATATATCAAAATTGTAATAATAATATATATTATTAATCCTTGTAATAATTATATAAAATATTTTTTTTTCAAATATTATAAATAGTATATAAAATGTAATTTAAACACAAGTATAGTATTTAAATAAATTGAGAAAATAGATATACATACATTAGAATATTTAATAAAATAAAGTTCAAATTAGTGAAAAAAATAATTGATTGATATCAATAATTTATTACATAAACAAAACATTATTTTCATAAATTGATAAATACATTGGAATAATTAACATAGTATAGATATAATCATATCAGAACATAATATAATGTTTATTAGAATGAATATGTACCTACTGTAGATAACTAAACACCAGGTGTATAAGAACAAACTTACATGGAAGAAAGCATATAAAGCATGCATGTATTAAAAGTGTACAAAAAGCCTACCTAAGACCATGAAGTGTATAAAACCAGGTGCATTTAAAACATACCTGAACGACACCAGGTGGTATATAAAACCAGCAGTAAAAAAAGCATACCCCAAACAAGGTGTATAAACTGGGTGCTAAGATATAACACCAGACCTACATATAAACAAATGTAAACATTTTGGGGAATAAACCACAAGAACAAACTAGCATGTGTGTAGTCTCGCAAACCTAGTCACCATCAAACCTACTTTAAATTGTACATGATAAAAATAAAACCAACTGGATGGATCCCCTCTCAACTTATAACTTGTACAAATAGTTCATAAATAATATAGTCATTTTTCGTGTGGCATGTTTTGTAATATCTTAATTACATTTTTAATCAACGCTTTTGTATAATTCTAATTCCCAATAGGAATAAGACCATAGAATCATGAGTACACTTTGGCATTATTTCTCTTGCTCTATAAAATGCATTTTATTTGAATTTACTTTCAGGTTCTGTATTTTTACTATATCTGTAATTTTCTGTCTCTTCTTTAATATAATTTCTGAATAATGTTGAAACAATCAAACCTGTAACTCCAAAATTGTTTACCCTTCTAGGTCTAAATCTAAAGTGGTGATGTTATTTACATAAAATACAAGTGTTAATACTGGTGTTATATCTCTATGTAGACATACACATAATAGCAGAAGGCACATAAGACAATTTAACACATAATGATATACTTGTGATTCAACCAATAATGACATATCATTTGCTCCTTAGAATGCATAAGAAAATACAATTGTTTGATGATATATTTTAGATGCTGTTACTGCATTCAATGCCCTCTAGAATGTTGGCCCTCGTTCAATAAGGATTCTACCATAGAATTTCTTCTGGGACATTTTGATAATACCTAGTACAATAAGCTCTGAAAAAAGTAAAAAAAATGTAGAATTAATTCCTTTATTTATTAATTTATTTTTATATAGTATATAATTGTATAGTCAATGTAGTTAATCAATACTGATTCATTTTTAACTTTGATAACACATATTTCCAACAGACTGATATGATTTTATACTTTATCTAATAAAGTTAAATTAAGCTTGGTTTCCATACAATCGCTACAAGTGATCGTCGAAAAAACAAGTCTGCCATTTAATATGAGCCCAAATGTAAATATTGATTTATGTTACAGTGCTCATGTTTTAGCTCTAGTTCTAGTCAAATTTACTTTCAGGAATATAATCTGACACAATTGTGAAGTTTTAGGTTTAAAATCACAGGGTAAGAATGTTCTTTGAAACTTACCAATACATACTGTGAACACCTTAACAGCAACCTGTTTGTAAGTTCCTGGGGGGCACAGCTCATCAAATGTTGTAGGTCCATCTGATGTAAGATTACTAATTTCCCTTTATAAAAACAAATTAGATAAATAATGACCACTACACTTAAAATCTAGTCATAATTGGGTCCGTGCAAGCCGCTGACCCCAGAGCCTCACTGCTGTTCTTGTTACCACTACTTTAAAAGCGTCCAGCGTCCCCAGTTTTGAACAGATGTGCAGGAAATTTTGTACACATAAACTAGAGGTGATTTCCAACAAATGTTTAACGCCCTTTTTTAAATTTGACCCCATTGTTTCCCTACACCAGGGGTGGGCATAAAAATCGGTTGGAGGGGCAAAGTAAATTTTTGATTTAACACCGAGGGCCGCAAATTTGTATTCCATTAGTTATTACATCAGGTTGTACAACTCGGGATGTTTACATTTTTACTAGTATTGAGGAATGAGATATTCAAAGGTGAGCCAACCTAAAAATAACAGAGCCACTTTAAAGGGGAAGTGCGGGGATGAAATGATTAATTTTTAATTTAAAATAGAGGGATGGGCGACTACAATGATGGTGACGGCACTCGATTTTGGAGCGCGGTATGCGAAAACGAGGCTCGTGAACTGGGTCCCAAAAAAAAAACTGGTGCTACAGGATTTTGAGCTAATGTTATAAGATAGGGAATTTCCTAAAATGTACCGACTTTCAAAGGCTTGCATTCGGTAACCCCATAAAAAATCGTGTCAAACTTTAGATATTCCAATGTAAATTTGGCCGTTCTTTTCATTTATATGGGTTTTCACTTATGAAAATGTCTCAATTATGTGTAAAATAACGATTTGCCCCAGTTTTTATTTCGGAAATTTGCACTAGACAGGGAGTCAGCTGATTCACTCAACCGTAATGAGCTGGTAACGACACAGCCAACTGATGAGATTGGTCGTCGCGAGCGGAAAATTGAAAAATTAGGACTGGCGAAAATATTCAATAATATAATAATATAATAAGTCGAAGGCATTTTTGAAGAATCAGTCTTTCAAAAAGATATGTTTGCTGGTTTGGATAAGGAAGTCTTGGAAGTGGTGATCTTAATAGTGGCGTTAAATAGGTTTGTTTAATACCAACTTGTCTTACCTGTGTAGGCATAGCCTAGCATTTAGTGCAGTACTACTGTATGATGTATGTGGAGAATACGGACTACTCTACTGCCTGGCGCGGCCTAGCCCCCTAGTTTAGGCCTAGGCATACAAACTATATAATAATAATATTTCAAACATTAGACAAACAAACAACACTATTTTAAATAAAGTACATTAATTTACATGTTAATTATTAGGTCCATGGAACTATCTAGGACCTACTACTACTACTACAGCATTACTAAAATGCCAGTTTATTCGTCCTAGAATGTGGATGATACCTTGAAAACTAGCTCAAATTTGCACGGAAAATGGCTTGGAAAAATGTGCACAGAACTTCTGCATGATACATTGACAATGGTTATATACAGTATCCAGATTAGTTCAAAGACTAATTTTCGGCATTCTGCTCGGAAATACAACCACCTGCCTTAGGCGTGGCCCTGTTGGTTCCATGCTGGATCAAAAACTAGTAGAGGGTCAAATGTCCAGTGAAGTAATAAATTCTATTCAAAATAATTAGGTCGCGGCTATGTTACACCACTTTGCAATGCATTTGAATATGGGCTTTTCACAGTGATGGTTAATATATATTTTCAACAAAAATTATCATTGATGATTAGTGCCAGAATGATTAATTCCATATAAAGCTATTGTAATATCAATACTAATTGTTTTTGAATGGTGTAAGAAGTGTTACTCTGATTTTTTTTAACTAGTCTGTTCAAACTTTTTATTGTACTTCTCTTCTTACAGGAAATACCGACATGTTGGATATCGATGGCTTTCATTTGGTAGGTGTTTAACAGGCTAAAGAAATCTGACAGAAGGGTCATTCCCATCTTGCACTGTGTGGGCGATTAGGGACAAGTTCCCAGAAGCTTTGAAGACTGCCCTGGGTTTTTTTATGCTATAGAAGATGATGAAATAAACTGTGTGTTGGAAGAATTATTTATAAATTGTTATGGAAGATACCTGATAAGTCCATCCTCATTAATGCAACAGATTTTATGTAATAGATTCATTCTTGACAATTCATGTGACAACTGTGCTCTGTTTTTTTTTACAATCTCATTACTCATGAAAGGACATTTTGTCAGCATAGGCCTATAGCTTTTGTATATCTGGACCAGTCAATTGTGTGTAACCTTCCAGATCTTGTCTGTAATTGAAATTGTTGTTATTGATGCGGATAGGCCAGCAAAGTTGATTTCAAGAACATTTTGTTGTTAAGTACAGTACAATGTTTTTTGTATCTTCCCCACTCTCGTCTCATATTTTAAAATTTTAAGGTAATACAGTATATAAATGTAACTTGTTCTTCCCTATTTTTTACATTGGTATAAACTACAGTAACTATAAATCCATATATTTAATATTTTGATAATAAATAGTGTGTAAAATGCAGTGATATATATTGTAATACCTGACTGCTTCAATATTGCTTTATTCTGTGTACAGTAAAACAATTTTATATTAACTGTGAGAAAATACACTTGTAATAAATTATTTGCCATGTACAAGTATGATAAATTGTGTTTCACAATATTTATTTAGTAACACCAGTAGTCTTGAATTTACTGTATGTACAACAATAACTAAGTGAAGCACCAAAAATATGGATGTTGAATATCATCATTTAAGAAGAAATTTTGGCTATGGTAAATAATACAAGACAATCAGACATGATAAATAGAGCAGTGCAATTAAACTTGCCTAAAGACGACTAATAATACATGCCGAATTGTTGTGTTTTCCATTACCGTAAGTGCAAGTCAAATTTTGTTAGGGTCGAACAATTTCTCAATGGCATTGGATATGACATAGGCAAGTTCAATTATATATTTAAAATACTAAACAAAAAATGGTGTGCAGCAAAAAAATTGAAGCTTTCTCTTAAATTCCAATACCAAATTGATCAGCATGCAGACAGGCATAAGTCCAGGCATTAAAAAATAAGCAGTTTCATAGAATAACTTTACACAAGACTGTACAAAGCCATACATTAAAATAGTTGTTCCTGTATACTGTATATTGAGCCACATTTTCATACTGTACTATCAAATTCGCACATTACATATTTCAAAATTAATCCTCACAATTTGTTTTACTAAATCTGGGTCACATATTTGCTTCAAAAGGATTACTATCGAATGGGATTATACCATTTTGGTGGTGGACGACGATAGTTGCTTTTACCGGGTAGCACAGACACGAAGGGACCCTTAGGGGCAAAAAAAGTCATTGATCGAGTTCCTAGTCCACATTTCAAGCGCCCTGAGCATCTTACATTAGATGGATTTGTGCGCTATATAAAACTACACTATTATTATTTAATAATGTTAAAGATATTTTGCAAATGAAACAGGTACAGTATTTATTTATTTATTATAAATTTGGCATGCAATATAAACCAGATGCTGCAAATACAAATAATTGAGTGTGTGGCATTTCAGTATATCTTCAGAAAAAAAAAATCACTAGATAAATAATTTTAATTTAATTCTTTTGAAATATTTTGGGCTCAATCACTTGCTGCAGAGCTCTGAGCATCACCACCTTCTGCTAACCATGGATTGGACATGTCCATTTCATCATGTCCACACAGATGAGACTGTTTGCATCACATCCATTTGAGCCTGTCATTTGCTCCTATTGAGAAATAAGTATACTTTAGTTACAATAATGCAAAACCAGGTTTGTTAAAAATCAAAAATGTTATCAAACATTGGCATTTGCTGCTTTATCAATAACATACCATACTGAGATACTGTATACTAATCTGGAAAGACATTCATCAATTGATAGTATTTTCAGATTTTTTAATTACTTGATTGAAGCCGTCCTGTCTGCTAGTGTGTAATGTACTATTATTGTTCCTCTTAATAAAACTGACACACCATGCTGATATTTTTTTTACCATTCCAATATATTTGTTTCATGTAGTCTGGCTGAACAGTGATGAGATATTCACTTAATTTTCTTTTGCTCACCTTAAATTGTGTGTAGCTTTCATTACAAGTTTCAGCAAACAACCAGAGTGTTTCTTGCTAACGTCTTGGGTGCTTGTATGCTTTGTAAAACCTTCTTTCGTAGATGCCAATGTTGGGTGGTTGTACTCATGGCAAATGTTGTGGTATGTTTGTCTCATCATGGCGACTGGCAAATACCTATGTGGCCAGAGTGTTATGTTTCGGCATATCACATATCTTGTCCTACAAAAATATATATATACTGTTATATATTTTATTTGAATTCCACATTTCAACAACAGCTGAAAGTTAGGTTTGGAGTAACATATGCACCAAGTTATTATTTAATGGGGCGTTATTGTTGTGTAGCCTAGCTTCTAGGCCTACAGTATATCAATAATAATCTTATTGTTACAGGAATTGGTGTTGGCTCTGATGATATACTGTAGTGTTATAGCACATCACCTTTATTTTAAGACAGTGCAGTTTTTAGACATTTAGGCCTAGGCCTAGTCTCTGGACAGTGCATAGGACCAGGCCTATAAATAGGCCTTATAGTATTATTAGTAGGCCTACCTAGGCCTATTATGAAAAAAAATTAATTAATGTGACAAAGTCGCCATGGCATGACAATTCTAGGCTAGTAGTAGAAACCTACTAACTTTACCGTCAGCGTGCGAACTCACCTGCTGCGGGACTGGAGCAGTGTCCTGCTCAGCAGTGCGCTACTGCTGCTGGGTAGACACTGACTGTGCTAATCCTAGGCATAGGCCTAATTATAAACAAACAAGTCATCGGACTGACATACGTTTATTAATTCAATTGAATTATTCCTCCATGATTGAATTGACGTTGACTAAACCGTCTCTCTGTAACTGCGTACGTAAACGATCACAAAAACTCACGACTTCGCACTACTCTTGTGATTTGTCTAGGCTAGTTGCTCGATCGTCGGGACGATTTTTCGATCAGCTGCTCGCAAAATTGACAGACTGGTCTTGAATATTAATGAGTTGGTTAGAAAATGCTACCAAGCTACTGAAAAAAGTGATCAGCCTCGTTTTCACCTGATTTTCCCGTCTCATCACATCATGTTTTGTTTCTCTAATTATCGTTACATCTCAACGTTTTGAATTTTTTAAGTATCTTTCCCGAACTCAGGAAAGGTTAAATAAGCAATATATGGCCACTTGTCTCATCCCCGCACTTCCCCTTTAACAGATTCTTACCTGAGGACAGTTTCTTGTGAAACACTCAATGGTTGTCTATCACCTTTCCCTTCCTCTGCATGGTCATCTGAAGTCACTTCCCCTTCAATCCCCTCTCTTACTGAGTACTCGTCTGAAACATTTATAACCTCCTCTTTAATTGGATCAACCTCAACCAGCTGCTCCAACATTTCAAGTTCAATTGGTACCTCATCTATACTCTCGGTAGTCAGACGTCGTCCATTTCTATAGTTTGGGAATGAAAAAAAATTATAGCATATGATATAGTATTACTTCACTTGAGCATTTTCTATTACTTTACACGGAATACCAACTCTTTGGCGATAATTAGAATAGTATTTGAAAAACATTCTTTAAGGTAAATTCAGCATGCTTACTTTATTCACCGACTGTTAAATGTTAAACGTATGAAGTTTTATCAAAATTTGTAATGTTGATGGTAATTTAATGTTACCTAAAAAAGATAAAAAACAGTAATAATGACAATAAACCTACCTCTCTGACTTGGCTTCAAGCTGTATACTATCTCGAGAATGCTCAGACAGACGACTTATCTCTGCAAAAGAAATCAGTATCATTTGAATCATTGGTAGAAGACAGTTCAACATTGTCCACTGTGTAGTTGAAACATCATATTTAAAAAAATTAAATGAAAGAATCTGGAATACAATTTACCTCAACAAAATCGCTATGGATTGGCATGATTAAGGCTGGCATTGGTCTCAGTCCGATCCCTATTTCGGTAAGTTCGCAATTGGTTTAGCCTAGATCTTGGTTTCTTACAATTATACATATTGTTGCCTTTACAAATTATAATATTACTACATCTATAAGTTACTAAACTATCCTGTCAAAAACAGAGCATTACAGTATATCATCAACGAAAAGAAGAAGGCTGCGATAACGACAAATTGACAACTATATAATTATACAACATAATTTAATTCTTTTCTAAACAAAACAGATAGACACTCACCTGAAAGTAGATTGGCAGGAGTCACATCAAATTTTACCCCTCTACTTGTTAAACTGTCTTGAGCTGCATCTCTCAAGCCTTCCATCTCTGACAATTCCTAAAATAATCGTTTTAAACTTTAGTTAACTACAGGTAATTCATCAATCATTCTCTAACCATGCATGATTCACCACATCTGAATAGACTACATAGCTCAAGATGAGTCGACCAAGTTTTAACCAGGTCTATTTTAACTTGAATGTGGTGACCTAAAGAGAACCAGTGTTTCAGTGTAGTATAGCTATAGATATGGTATTAAATTGTCACAGCGAAAATATATATTTCTGCATTTCAATTTTGTCATTTTTGAAATCACAACATTTTAGGGTAAGCTTTATACACTGTACCTGTTATTTACATTAAATCTTTGTAAAAAAATACTTACTGATACAACCTCTCTGTTGATGTCTGGTGACTTAGCGTCATCTGCAGATGACACAGCATCCCGCAAGTAGTAGATACTCCAAATTGGGTGGTCAGGCTCGGTTGGACTTTCATAGTCACATGGTATGGCATGCTTTCTCCATACATCCATTAATGGTTCACTCTTTCTGATACCTAAATGATTATTTTTATTAATGGAATGTGGTGGTATGAATCTGACTCATGCTAGTCAATGACATTTTATAATTTACTGGGAACCTGCAATGCTGTTTAAATTTTAAATGTAATTTTATATCTTGTATTTTTGTATCCCTTGTATTACATATATTGTTTTTAACCTTTGGATACATATACTGGAATTTTAATGAGAATGTTTTGCTAGGTCTTTGAACTGTTTCTTATTAGCCGCCTCCCATAATTATCGTATATATTTTTATATTTTGATTTAATTTTATTTGATGCGAAATGTGAAGACTCATTTTTAAGCATATTTTTTAATCTCTTACTTAATCTTATGGCTGTTGCAATAATTGTCACATTCTAATTTTAGTTATTTTAATTTTAAGTGCTAGTATTTGTATTAATGTTTTATATTTTATATTCTAATTCTAATTTAAATAGGTAGTTAAGATGTTTTCAGTAATTTGTTTTGTCACATGTTGAGGTTCCCTAATGATCAGCTTCTGCTGGATGGCTCACCCTCATTAAATATGGTTCAAATAAATAAAATAAAACAAATAAATAATGAAAACATTCAATTAAAAAAAAAGATAGGGACAAACAAACAAATTACAGGCGGACAGACAGATGTATAGATAGATAAATACATTGCTTACCAACTCTGGTAGGAAGCTTAAACAGCTCTGTAGCACTTGGGTATGATTTTGTTGGTATTATCTGAAAATTACAAACATATTCTTACTATATATTCATGACAGACTTCTTAAATTAACCTATGCATAAATCAAAAATGTCTCAAATAGATAAAATTATGTTAGCTGATAATACTAGTTATTTTCGGTGGTTTCTTGGCTGGATGTCAATATCCTATAATTCATAATTTATAATTTGATTTATCTGAAAGAAGATGAAATTAGCCACATGCCAATCTCTGATGCTCCTAATACACTACACATAGATTGTGAAAACAGTAAAGAAAAAAATCAATAGATAGCAGGTAGAAAACTCAGCTCCTACTGTAGGTCTATTCTTCTTCTTCTTTAAATTTAATCTATACAAAAATGACAGATCAACCCACACAACCACTTGCCCACTCCACCTTTACCCCAATGAATGTTGTCAACCAAATTGTCTTACATCACTGGTTTTGCAAAGCTGATTTGATGTTGCCAGATTCTGTCTGATAACTTCCTTACGGAGCTGTATATCCTCATCGGCAAACAATAGACGTCGCTTCTTTCCTCGTCTTCGAACAGGAGGACTTACCTCAATGGGAGTAAGTTCCAAACGGGGAATAATTATCTAAAATACACAAAAAAAATTGGACAATACAAATAAATCTAGTATATAATGTTACATTATTTAACAAAATGTCACTGTGAGGATCCTCATACTTGGTCAATGTTCAAATGTGATTACCGGTAAGTAAAATCCAATCCTAATAAGACAATAATTATAAGCAAATTTAATTTGAGGTGGGGGCAGATGGCCAAAAGGCTGCCCCCAATTGTTTTTCTGTTTCATTCTTTCATTCTTTTTCAATAAAGTAATGTGATGACACTAACCTTGCCAATCTGGGGTGTAACCTCTTCTGGCGGCACTCTAGGGGAAATGTCTGCCTGAGATATTACTTCTTGTTGTGGCACTCTAGGGGAAATGTCTGCCTGAGATATTACTTCTTGTGGTGGCACTCTGGGAGAAATGTCAACCTGCGATATAATTTCTTCTGGTGGCACTCTAGGGGAAATGTCTGCCTGAGATATTACTTCTTGTGGTGGCACTCTGGGAGAAATGTCTGCCTGAGATATTACTTCTTGTGGTGGCACTCTGGGAGAAATGTCTACCTGCGATATTATTTCTTGTGGTGGCACTCCAGGGGAAATGTCTGCCTGAGATATTACTTCTTGTGGTGGCACTCTGGGAGAAATGTCTACCTGCGATATTACTTCTTCTGGTGGCACTCTAGGAGAAATGTCAGCCTGAGAAGTAACTTCTTGTGGTGGCACTCTGGGGGAAATGTCTGCCTGAGATATTACTTCTCGTGGTGACACTCTGGGAGAAATGTCTACCTGCGATATTACTTCTTGTGGTGGCACTCCAGGGGAAATGTCTGCCTGAGATATTACTTCTTGCTGTGGCACTCGGGGCGAAGTCTCAGCCTGAGATGTAACTTCTTGTGGTGGCATTCTAGGGGAAATGTCAGCCTGGGGTGGAGCTTCTTGTGGTGGCACTATGTCAGTCTCAGTGGCAATGTCCTGTAGTAGTGGTCTAGGAGAAATATCAGGTTGAGGGGCTGCAACATCCTGTGGTGGTCCTCTAGCAGCAATTTCAGCCAGAGGTATTTCATCAGCAGATGAAGAGGTCAACTCCTCTATAGTAGGAAGATGGGGAGACAATGTCATATCTGGAGGAAGTATCAGTTCCGGTGATCTCAAATCCAGAGGCTCAGGTTTGTCTTTGGGTGTTCTCTGGGTTTTCTCTCGATGAACAGGAGACAGTACCAGTTGGCCAGTCTCTTCTTGAATCAGCCACAGACCCTCGCTAAAGAGTAATTATGTAAAGAAACACACAGTTCAAGTTGAATAACTGTGAAATATGGGCTGGGATTCACAATGTGTTGCAATATGATGACTTTATAAATAAGTATCAATAATCATCTTGTTATTTTGTTGTTTTGTTTTGTTTTGTTTTCTGTACAGTACATATATTCTGAGGATTTGGAGTCTCTGTTTAATTTCTCCTTCCCCAAAATAATTCTGGAGAATTTTGACTTGATAATATGGGAGGGACATAGTGTGAATAGATTGATAAATATACAAAAGTAGAGAAAATGGCATATATAGAGAGAGATATCAATTTCAGGTAATATTAAGTGAATGAGATAGAATAAAATTAATTATTTAATTAATTATTGACTAAAGTAAAATCAACAGCATAATTAACTTGGCATTTTGCAATAATTATTGCGTATTGAAATAAAAAGATTCTTACTCTTCTTTCTCATATTCTTGAATTGTAGCTTGATCATCAACTGGCATTGGAGCTGTTTGATATGAATCTAAGCTAGCTTGTATCTTAGCCAGGGCTTCCTCGAAGCCTGGATCAAATGCTGGCAAATCTACTTCACCCCCTGGAATCTATAGTAAATTATTATAGAATTAAACTCTTTTACTTTTATCAATGTAAAATTCAATTTTTTATTCAAATCACAAATACATTGTATGTAATAAACATGAATAAAGTATAACATATTTTTAAAATAACAATTAGTATAATATAATAAACATAATTTTCTTAAAAATAAGTTTATTAAAGTATATAAAAAAAATTTACCTGGATAGTCTGCACTGGTGACTGACTCTCTCTCAGCTGGATGGACTCAGGACTAGGGGCCAGGTGAGGAACATCCATCATAAGGTTTTTGCTTGGAACAGGACTATAAGCTCCACTCGTGTCAGTTGAAACAGCTGGTGGACTAATCATCATCACATCCTAGTATGTACATGTTATACAGTAATTTCAAAGAAGTTGAAAACAAATTTAATTAATTATTATTTTGCTACTTACAGAATAACCTATTGCACATAATTCTTTAATAACAATAATTTATCAAGAATAAAACAAATTATGTTTTTAATATTAAAATAATGAGAATCCTGTGCTTTTACAATGCAATTACCTCTTCTGGTATTATGTAAGGCTGTGCTCTAAGTGGAGAAAGTCGCACAGTCCCAAATTCGGGGTCAGACATTCTTCCTTCTGGTAGAGCATGTCGATCCTTAATGCTATTCATAAAAATAATTAAAAACATTAAATTATTAACATGAAAATAATTCTGCAAGTAATATTTTCAATCCTACAGTGGAGGAACTTCGCATGAGATCTGTATTAGTTCTATACATTTAAATGCTACTTAACTGCAGGCTTCCACCATGCAAGTTTTCATTCTAACTCCAGCTGGTTCAAAATATCACAATTAATGTTTACATGCAAATAGAGACAACATTTTGCTGTACAATCGTTACTGTTCCATGAATCAGATTATACAATATTTTCAAGTGACATAGACATTACATCAAAAAATCAGTAGGAGCAGAGCCTGCCTCACAATCCAAAAATATAAATGGAACCTTTACCTTTCTATACCTAAAAACAATCAAACAATTTACCCATCTACAATATGCAATTATATTAAAACTGACAGAATTAAATATGTACTTGATGACATCATTTTATAATTACTGTGTATCATCATGAATTCTAAAAATGCTATGACTGCATTTTCATCCATAAGATCCACTTAAGTGTGAGACACTCCTCTTTCTTAATTTCTATTTTGATTGAACAGTTTAAATTTAGCTTTTTTATGATTGGTTTGTTTTTAATTACTTTCACTTATACATCTGATATATCGTAAATATATATGGATAGATGAAAATCTTAAAAATTATCACATGGGGGAAATGTTGAATCTTCAAAATATGTCTCTTTTTGGAGTTACTGTGTTTTGCTTCTCTGATTGGCATTTGAAGGTTAAAAGTATGTTTCTCAGTACTCAGATACTTTATTTCGTCTATACAAATTGTACAGAAATTTGTTTTCCGCCAGCTTTAAACTAAATACAACAAATCAACACAATAAAGTAGAATAAATAGGTCAGCTTAAAAGGCAAGACATTTAAGATGGAAACAAAAACACTGTAAACTTGCCGCCCCACCCCCACCCCCTCCCCATCAACATGCCACCCTGGAATTAAACATGTGTATGGCATCGGGCAGTAATGAAAAAATGTAATTGATTCTTGATGACGAGCCAATTATGGCCTCCCTCTCATTAAATCTCTCATTATTCAAAGTAACATTCATTCTATAAAAATAAATTAACATTGTAGAAACAACCTCTTTGGTAGTGGTGGTAGATCTATCTCGGCTGAAAGGTCAATATTAAATCTTCCAGACCTCACCTTGGTATGAAAATTTATCAATTCACCTAGAATGTCACACAAAGAACATAAAATAATTAATATTCATTTCTCAATTAACAATTTGCTTACATAAAAAAGATGTAGATTAAATTATATTTTCATTACTGTATTGGAGGTATATAAAAATAAAAATTGGTAGAAACTGTACCTCCATGGTACATATAATTTAATTATTTTCAGCACATAAATCAGTCAACCAATATTTTTATTTCTCATTTTATTATTATATTTATGGGAAATCAATTGGATCCAAAGATAAAATTAGATAATTTAAAGTGACAGTCATGGG